TAGTGATTTGAACCGATTAGACCATAATCGGGTAACCAACCTTAACCGAAGAAATTCGGTTGAACCGGTTGAGAAAAGTTTTTAACCGGTTCAACTGGTTCAACTGGTTTCAACCGGTTAAAACCCGGTTAACTGGTTAACCAATTATCAAAAATATGTAAATCTAAAAATTCATTAGTTGTTCATTGTTACATTGAGGTGATGATAGAAATTATTATATTATGTGTATTACACAAAATGAACATAAAGGTGGTGAAAGTTGTAGAAAATCGTGAAACTTAAATAAATAGTGTGATTTGGCTTGTAAATAATGTTTCCGTTTTGAAACGTTAATAATGTCGGACAATGAGTATGATGAGATTTCACAAACTGAAAGCTTACACGCAAATGAAAGCTTATGCGAAAGTGAAAGTTCACGTATAACTGAAATTTTACATATAACTGAATGACTAGAAGATGAATAAGATTCTCAACAAAATATTCGACAAAATACTTGGCAAAGTAATCAGCGAAATACTCGACAAATAATTTAGCAAAATACACAGCAAAGTACTTAACAAAAGCACAAGCAGCATAAAACAACTAAAACAATCTCAAAATGCTGGAAATATTTTAAAAAAACCGAAAAAAAAACAATATATCAATTTAAAATACAAAAAAAAAATGAAGAAGAATCTATTTGTGGAAAATCATTCAAGTACTTACCGGGATGGTCAACATCTAATATGAATTTGCATCTGGCGGATGAACATGACTTAGTAGAATTTCAAAGAGAAAACAAGGTAAGTTAAATCAAATTTTATATTTTATTTATAAAATGTATAATTAAAAATAGAATTAATTAATTTTAGAATCATACGAAAGCTTTAAATTCCCAGAAAACTATTGCTGATATGTTACATATCGCTTCTCACAAAGGAATAAAAAAAACTAAGATTCACCATGCTGTTGTAGAATGGCTTATCGTCAATAATTTCCCACTTGATACCATTAATGGAGAAGGATTTCGCCGATTCATGTTGCAAATTGATTCTGGTTTCCGCCGGCCTTCTTATAAAGCACTAAAAAAAGAAATATTATTTGGAAATACAAATGCAAGAAATCAAATATATGAACTTTTGAAAAAAAGCAGTGAAATGGTTTCTTTAAATACAGATCTTTGGATGGCAAGAAATGGAACTGGATATATTGGAATTACAGCACATTGGTTGAGTAAAGAATTTGAATTAAATGAAATCTTACTTTGCTTGGAGCCGATGCCATATTCTCATACCAGTCAGGCAATCAAAGAATTTCTTATTCAAAAAGTTCAAGATTTCAATCTACAAGATAAAATTTTGTGTGTCATTACGGATAATGGTAGCAATATGGTAGCTGCCATAAGAGATTGGGATAGCGTAGAAAGATTACCATGTACTGCACATATCTTGCAATTATCTGTCAACCATGCCCTAAAGAAAACCACCAACAAATTTACCGAATTCGAGAATTGGTTAAGTTTTTTGACTCATCCAAACAAAGCCAAAGGTTGGATGCTGCACAAATTGAAATATCCAAGCAAAAATGACGAAATAACGTACTTTCACATGATCCAATTTTATCTGATGACTCTGATTATGATGGTGATTCAGAAGACATGGAAAATGAAGTGGCAACTAATTATCCTATTGATAAATTTATTCCTATATTAAAAAATGTCAAAGATATTTCAAATCATTGAAATTCTAAATATTGATCATGGAAGATATTAATTCAGCTACAACCTGCAATCAGATGGCTTTCAGCAACATTACTATTTTGAGATGATCCAGATGCACGAAAAGATGGACGAAAACTGCAACAATTGATATTACAAGAAGAAGAGTGGAGTTTTGTTCAAAGATTATTTGAGATATTAGAACCTTTTGATAGTGCTACTGAATATTTCAGTGCTGGATGATATTCTACCATAGCATTTATCCATCCTTTAATGGAAGCAATGAAATTTCATTATGCACAAAGTGCGAATTTTGATGAGAATGGCTATGAAAATGAAGATACAGTAATTCTTTATTAATTTGTTTATTTATTTATTTATCTTAATATTTAATTATATTAAAATTTTCAAGAAATATCCAATTTTGATTCGGAATTCGAAGATTTATCTGAAAATGAACTGGTTATTGCCATTGAATCCCAACCTAATACACAATCTCTTGACAATCAAGAAAACCAATTAGAAAGTGATCCCGAGTCAATTATAAAAGAAATACAAACAATTATTTACAACTCACTATTTGAATATTGGGACCGTCCATCAAAAATTTGCCTTCTTGCTACATTGTTGGATCCTCGATTGAAAGAAATGAGCTTTGCAAGTGACGAGATTCGTAATGACACCATTCGTGAATGTCGGGAACAACTTCACCAATTGACACAACCACCAACTGAAGAACATACCACTTCATCCAACTCAACCACCCTCTCTTTTAATAACATGTTTGCAAATGTTATATTCGGAACTCAAATATCAAGTTCTTTGGATGAATTAGATTATTATCTTAATTTTAGACAAACACCTGTGGCTTTTCATAATTCTGATCCTCTTTTGTGATAGCAGCAACAACAAACTCAATTTCCAATCCTTTCAAAGTTGGCATGAAAATATCTTGGCATTCCTGCTACCTCTGTTCCTAGTGAGCATCTTTTTTCAGATGCCGGCAATCACATTACTCCATGACACTTCAATTTAAAACCAAGATTAGTTTCTCAAATATTATTTTTAAAAAGAAATGACAACTTTATCAACATGTTTCCTAGTTCTCACCTGTATAAGCAAAAAAAAGTATAATCAAATGGGAGAATAGCTTTTTTGTTCACTCGATATAGCGGGTGCCACAAGGGCACAAAAAGAAAAAAAAATAGCCATTGCTTCAAATAAATAATTGCGTAATAATGATGATCTGTACAACCATTTTATTTTTACCTTGATTTTAGACGAACACCTGTGGCTCTTCGTAATTCTGATCCTCTTTTGTAATGGCAGCAACAATAAACTCAATTTCCAATCCTTTCAAAGTTGGCATGAAAATATTTTGGCATTCCTGCTATCTCTGTTCCCAGTGAGCATCTTTTTTCAGATGCCGGCAATCACATTACTTCATGATACTCCAATTTAAAACCAAGATTAGTTTCTCAAATGTTATTTCTAAAAAGAAATGACAACTTTATCAACATGTTTCCTAGTTCTCACCTGTATAAGCAAAAAAAAGCATAATTAAACAGGAGAATAGCTTTTTTGTTCACTCGATATAGCAGATGCCACAAGGGCACAAAAAGAAAAAAAAATAGCCATTGCTTCAAATAAATAATTGTGTGATAATAATGATTTGTACAACCATTTTATTTTTCGATTGATGAATACTTAATTCGGTTGACCGGTTGAACCAGTTGAACTTGGTTGGAACCGGTTTGGGTACCCAGTTCAAGTCACTAGCTGATAGTCACATGACTAAACGTGAAGCAGCAGATCATAAAGAGAGAAGTTTAACCAGCCAAAAGCTTAATTTGCATAATGCGACAGTAATTTAGTAGACACGTCACAACCTGTATAAATATAACTAAAATCAGCTAGAGTAGAGTAGCAATAGATATAAGAGAACACAATAAATATAATTGCTTATTAAATACCATTTGTATCAATTAATATAATAATTAATATACTTATCTTTGAAGAGTTATTGGCCATTAAGGATCTTAAGAGGCATATAAGGGAATTGTGACAAAGGATTAGCCTGGTAATTTTTTTTTTTTTTTAACGGGTAGCTTACACCTTGTTTATTGAATATTGTTTTAAGTATGTACAACTTTGTAAACTACAAAATTTAAGACTCTATCTATTCTCTAAACTCACTAAAGGTTGCCCTTACCATGCGGCTTATTGCCAAAAGAAATTATTGATATATCTTTGACTAATTTGCCAAGGCTCTACCAATCCCTATTAAAAGAAATCCTGAATTTATATAGTATATCCCAGTTGATTCAATTATGTGTTACATGGTTCATAATTGAATTGATCCCTGGTATATTTGTTTTTTGTTTTGCCACTTTTTTCTTGTTAGTTGTCCATGTCCGTTTGTCCTGTTGTGATATGTTGTTTTCTTTTTCCCATTGTATGAATTGTTCGTTTTGTTGTATCCAAATCTTTTCCAGGCTTCAAAGGATTCTGTTAAGGATACTTTGTGTGGTTTCCTTTTGTATAGTTGAACCTGTATTTGTTTTGATAATTGTAATGATTCCATTAGTTAGTGCTCCTCTCATTACACAGTTTAATGTCTCTTTTGTCTAGCTTTATATATGTTTGAAGATTTGTTAATGTATTTGTGATCCTGTTTTTTCTGTTACTCTGCTTGTTATTTCCTCATTAATTATCTGTTTAATGGTGTTGGTTATGCTTGTTTGGTTGTCATTGCAAATCATGATATGTGTGTTGATTTCTATCGCTTTGTCACATCTTGAACATATGTTGTCTGTATATATTGTGGTGGATCGTGTATGTAATTTGTCTTTGGACGGAAGTTCCAAGTTCCACAGTTTTATGCGAAAACTTCTAGCATTGTGGTCTTGGTTATCTGTGTTTCCTGTTGTGAGTTTTGATGG